CCCCCAAATGAATATTTGATTGTGTGTGACATGTTTTGACATTTTGCTTCTTATTTCTATCAAACAACATTGATCAGGGGGAGGGGGAGCAAATGCAGATCAAGAAGTGGCAAGGAGGGTAACTTTCACTTGGCTTACTCGAAGCTCTCAAATTTCAATGTCATTCATTTTAGATCCCATTTTTTACCATTTTCTTGCTTATGGGTTTCCTGTGGTTATTGAATGAGGTACCCTATGACAGTCACCCTCCCCTCCCCCCTTTGGAGATTTGTAAACATTACCTCTCTTGTCTGACGGCAGGTCTACTGGTGATTGTAGGTGGGCCAAGGTCTGTGATTGGCTCATATGGTGCATTAGTGGCAGGGATTTCTCTTCTGCTCAGTGCAGCAGCCAATTGGCTTCTGCGTAAAGCTGGGCTTGCAATTCCCTCATTATTCAAATAATGCTTTTTAAACCAAAAAGAGAATTAGTTGTGGGCCAATAATTTATTTTAGGGCTCTTGGGAGTGAAAGACATTTCTGAATTAACTTGATTAACCATGAAACAATGGTTTCAACTCAAGACTWAATTTGATTCCTGAGTTAGCCATGCCCAGAATTTAACCCTTTCACTACTAAAGTGGCCAAAAGGTGCCAACCRGAAAGGCTACATTTTTCCTAGAGTATTCAAAAGCGGCCAGCAGAAAGACTTTTTTGCTTTTCAATTACCTGTCCTCTAGGACATATATTTTATTTTGATATTGAAAAATAAAAAACACTAATTATGTTCCAGGAAGAGCCTGTGTTGGACCCTTTTAGCCTCTAGTAGTGAAAGGGTTAATCAGCCCAGATATATATTTCTTAATATCAAAATACAAGTTTCCATGCAAAGTATAAGGAACATGGACTCTATGCCTAAATATATTAAGAACTTCTTTTTGCCATAAAAAGGCAACATCTTTTAACATGTCTGTGATTAGTACATTATAGAACCAAAATCCCTAATTTTAAAAATGTTACAACCAGCTTTTGTCTGGGTAGCACTTTCATGATTTTTCAGACCAGAAGCAAGGGCCCAGGGGGTGTACTCGGGTAGGTAACATGACRGGGAGGCCCGAAGTATTTTTTTGGGTTGACAATTTCCGTTCCCGGTATTTTTTTGGGGTCAAGAGACCAGCCACATATTTTTTTTAGGTCTCGAAATGGAACCCGTATTTTTTTGGGTTGTCACATCTCCGAGTTTGATTTTTGTATCAGAAAATTATTTGAAGAGCTTGTTGAATTCAATAAATCAGTTTCAATGTATTTAAGTCTTGTATTTTTTTGGGTCAGAAATTTGTATGCCTGCATGTATTTTTTTGGGTGTAAAATTTCAGGTTTGAGTATTTTTTTTGGGTTGCAATATGAATCTCCGTCGGACCCCCCCCCCCTTTCATGTTACCCACCCGAATACAACCCCTGGGAGCAAGGGAGGGGCTCGATCAACCCCAGTTTTTTTAAATTGTAAGGTTTTTCCTTTTTTAAATTTTTTTTTCAAGAAAACATACAAGCCAAGATGAGATATATATAAGGTCAATTCTGTACATTTTACRTTGAAATGGAACAGTATTGTGTACTGAATGTAAAGAAATTAACACCTGTACGTGCAACTTTTGTAAATTATGTGTGTTGACCTCGCTAGAGTATGATTGGATGGGTTTCTTATAGTCTTTTGGGAAAAGGTTGCCCCACCACCACACACACACACATTTCTAAGCCTTGCTACAGGCCTTTTTTTCCCTGTGGTCACAGTTTTAGAGTGTAACTCCTTAATAAATATATTTATCAAGTTGCAACCCCTTGTAAAAAAAGACAGTAGATGACTACCTTGAAGCTTCTAGAAAAAAGTTGTCCCCCCCCCCCCCTCCCCACACACACACACGCATTTCTAAGCCTTGCTACAGGCTTGTTTTTTTTCCTGTGGTTGCAGTTTTAGAGTGTAATTTTTAACATATATTTATCAAATTGCAACCCCTTGTAAAAATAGACAGTAGTTGATTACCTTGAAGCATCCAGAAAAACGTTGCCCCCCCCCTTCAACACACACACACACGCATTTCTAAGCCTTGCTACAGGCCTGTTTTTTTCACTGTGGTTGCAGTTTTAGAGTGTAATTTTTAACAAATATATTATATTATCAAGTTGCAACCCCTTGTAAAAATAGACAGTAGTTGATTACCTTGAAGCTAAAGATTCTACTGTTTTTGTTCATGTAATCATTCACTTCCCTGACTTGTCTTGTCAGCCTCTTGAACAATTGCTGCATGATTGTACAAGACAAAAACAAAAAAACCAATTTCCTTAGTTAAATGTATACAATATCTGCCAACCATTCATGGCAGGATAAAGAAGAGGAAACGTGATAAGAAAAKATGTCAGACACCATACATTTTGATGTTAATGGTATTCTTAATGGCCAGGAGTTTTGACACAGGTTTATTCTAGAATTTCAAGGGTGATGAATTGAATGAAATTATATAAAACATTGACAAAAAAAGAAAAAATTATTTTTGACAAAAAATTGTAAAAATCAATTTAATTTTAGGCAAAGATCAAAAAATAAAATAACATTTACATTTTTAAAAGATTTTAAAGAGATTTTTTACCCTTTTGAATTATATTCTGCTTACATTTTAATAAACTTAAAAAACATTTCAATTAATCCTCAGGAGAAATGAAATGGCATTTAATTTTTTTTAAAGATTTTAAAGAGATTTTTTTTACCCTTTTGATTCATTGTCTGCTTACATTTTAAAAAACYTAATAATCTTTTAAAATTATCCTTAGGAAAATCTGAATAATATTTCAATATTTTTTGCCTTTTCTTTGACTCCTTTACTTGAAAAYTAAATTACTGGATCTACTGAAATAAAAAAAAATTGGCATAATTATGATGTTATAGTTTATGGACCAACGTTTAGAGTTTTTAAGCATTGAGTTGCTTTAAGGCTTAGGCCAAAMTTCGCATGAGTCAAACCTAATCGAAACAATGGATAACAGGGTTGTCTTCTTTGATGTCATTAGGTTCRGCTCGTGAAGTTTTGACGTTTGACATGAACCTAAGCATCTTATTTATGTATTTATTTACTGAATTCAATTCATTGGAATTGAGAAGTTGATTTTTGCAGAGGGAGGAAAACTGCATGGAGAACCTTCAAACACAGGGGRRAAAACGGATTCCCAAATTGGGAATTTGTTGGGAATTTCCWTGAATTCACAATGAATTCCCATCCAATTCACAGAGAGAATGAAATTGGGAACGTGGCACTGATTCCCAATGTTAGTTTGTTGGGAATTTTGGTTTTTTTTCTATTGGGTATTAGAAGGAAATTCCCAACAATAAAACCCAACGTTGGTGTTTGAATTGGGAATCCAAGGAAATTCCCAACAATTTCCAATTTTGGAATCTGTTTTTTTTTCCTGTGAAAGGAAGGCTCTTGAAGCACCATGACAGAAGCCTACAAATAAGTCTACCCAAATAAGAAATGCTTGGTTTGTGAATTGATTGCAGATTATATATTTGGTGAGAGAAGTTATCTTAAGAAGGGAGAGAAAGAGGAAAGACTCTGCTAAGCAGAGCCGAAACTCCAACCAAGCTATTATTTTTGGTACCTGACAATACTATGTTTTCAAATCAATTTTGTCTTCATTAAATTAGTTAAGATTATTAGTACTCRGGGATATTAGATAATAATACTAGAAAGTAATTGGCGTGTATCACTATTAATAAATGTATAGAACAAACTTACAATTTAACTTGGAAGATAAGAATGTATATTAAACTATATCTGCGACCATGCAATGCTTTWGTGAGAGGGTAAATGACATCCTTAAGAAAACTAACAATATTCCTCTTATTATCATTTCAGTCCATTAGCATGACAAATCATCTTTTTTATGCTAAAAATGACAAATACTTACAACAGGAAACAGGTGTTTTTTTCACAAACAACAAAGTAGATTTTATTTTTTGAAAAGATGTTAAGATATTGTTCCTGTACGTAAGCATAGCAAATAAGAAATATTTTCTCTTCATTCTTACAAATGTAGAATTTTTTGCTTTTAGGTATTCGAGTGTTGAAGCTATTAGTGACGGGATTATGTAAATATTGAGTTAAATCGTAATATCTCTGTTGACTGAAAGCGTAGTTAATATTAACTATGCTGAAAGTATAGAATATTCAAAGACAAAGAATTAAGATTCCACAATACGTTAAAACAAATGGACATTTTTATTAAATGTATTAATGCTTGACTTACCAAAGTAAGTTTGTATTCTTGTACTGTATCTACGAAGATCAGTAAAAAAAAGTTGATTTGAGTGACCAAACTTTTGTGACATTGTATAACGATATCAAACACGATCAACAAAACTATTAACAAAAAGTTGAAAGGTCTTGAATTTATCAATGATTTTGTAATTGCCTTTTAAAACAAGATTTCAAAGAAATCTTAATTGTATCCTTGCTTACCGTTGATCTCATCTTCGCTGTCAAGAAACGAGCTCGGTGTTGTAGTTCTACATCTACCAACTGGGGCACTCTTAACTCTACTCTCCTACACGAAAAAAAATTTTTAAACTAAATTTCAGACCATCTAATTTTTCATTTCTTTGAAATAAAAATTACTACCTTTTTTGAAGGCGCTGTTCTAATTAGATTAGAATTCTGCTTCCTTTGTGAGCGGACCCAGTCATCATTAAGGCTTCTTCCACTGAAACATATTAGATCTTTAATTAGAGAAGCCAATTTAGTGCAACCTTCGCTATGTCAAAACGCTTGTTTACAACATCACGAATCAAAAACATTTTACATCGTACAGAGAGAGAAATTATCTATAATGAAGAGAGTAACCTTGAGAATGCGTTGTGTGTTGCTATGGCATCATGTTTTGGAATTGGCCAGCTTTGAGCGTAAATTGAAACTACAGGGGTTGGTAAATTGGGCTTTACCACAAGTAGAGATCGATTCAGAACCTCCATCTTTGTTGTCARGACAGCAAGTAATCTAAAACTAAAGTTATTCTAATTCACTTACAGAGTGTATTGTGTCGACTCCATGCTTCGGCGGTTGCTATTCAATTTTTGGAAACCCAAGTACCCAAGTGCATCTCTTCCCAAGTGAGATAGGAGACCAATCGGAAATTTCCGAGATGATTCCGAACGGAAAACATCTTCCGAAAATCTATCGACGGCCAATACTTTCTCCGAAAAGTCGACGAGCGTTATTAAAGTTGATGAAAATTGGGATAACGATCGATGAACAACTTATTCTTATATATCGATACACGAATTCCTTAATTCCAACCAATAAAWTTTTTCTCGAATGAGCTTCGACACAATAGTGCCAAAACGAGTGTTTCTTCTATAGATAGTTCAAAAGTGGCACAGCAAAATAGAATTTCGTTTCATAAAACCGGTTGTCTATGAATTTGAGAATATTGCAAGAAAATAAATATTTATTTGCAGTAAGATCTTCAAACATTTCCTGGCTTACACATATAATATATTCTTCTCGCATGCACTTTGTACCGATTTCACAGTGTTCTGTGTTCCCCCGTGGGGAGGGGAGAACCACACAGCACTAGTGCGCAGCGTTCGGAGAAACACAAAACACGGGGTAACAATACTCGCTGTGACAACGACTTTGTGACCTCCAACTCAAAAGTACTCGTATGTCTTCTTTCTCTAGATAGTTAAAAAAAAGTGGCGCASAAAATTAGAATTTAATTTCCTAAAACTAGTTCCCTATAAATTGGAGAACTAATATACGATTTCCTCAGAAAAAAGGGTATATTTTAATATCTGAAGTGAGCTATTGAAGCAATTTACTGGCTTCAACGTCACTCACAGTGATAATTTATTCAATTTACATGTACTTTGTACCGACTTTGACAGCTTGAACTCAAAAGTACTAAAACGTGTGTTTTCTTTCTCAAGACAGTTCAAAAGGGGCGTAGAAAATTAGACTTTAGTTTTCTAAAACTAGTTGCATATGAAATAGAGAACTAAATAACGGTTTTGTAAAAGAAAAAAATCTTTTTAACTGAAGTGAGCTTTTGAAGCAATTTGCTGGCTTCAACGTCACTCACAGAGATAATTTATTCATTTTACATGTACTTTGTGCCTACTTTGACAGCTTGAAGTCAAAAGTACTAAAACGTGTGTTTTCTTTCTCAAGACAATTCAAAAGTGGTGCAGAAAATTAGAATT